ATACCAGGAATTAGGAGCAGAGATGCAACTGGAGGCCAGAGGTCATGATCAGCCACATATGGGTTTTCTTAGTTTATACAATTAGCGTTGCCAAACAATTGACTCTTTTTTTAAAAAGGATCTTCAGCCAATTGAAAATGTGTAAAAGGTTAAAGTATGGCTAGATGCATTCTTGGGATAAAACAACATGAAAGAACAGATGTGTCACCATCTTGTCAATAAAGATGATTCCACACTCACCCTCTTCCTTGAGCTCTTCTCTGCTTCCCAAAGCTCACACTCCAGTATTTAGAGATCAAAGATTAAGCATTGACTGCCTTTGGTATTTTGCAATGCTCCTGTGAATGGCCTCTTAAGCAGACTATGCACTGGACACACTGCTGGGTCCCCAGAGGTTACCCTTGTCTAGTGCCCAGTTTTGTCTGGCACCCAGGACACCCACTGTTTCTCAGTAAACCCTGCTAAGTTGTGTCTAGGATTTTACTCACCTTGTCTCTCCTTGTCCCTCACCTGCACACTCCTCCTTTGCACCATCTCTCAGGCTGTCCTCCCTGCATGGACCCACCTGACTCTCCTTTCCAAGTCCCATCTGGTTTCTGAAGCTTTCCTGGACACCTTCTGTCCAATTCCATTCTCTTCGGTCATTTGTACATCACACTTAAACCCATGGGTGAGCACTTCCCTGTGCTTCCCTTATTCCTTGACCACAGCCTGCAGAATCCAGAGGAAAAGGGAAGGAGGCTCACAAGCTGGAGCTGCTGCCATTTTCCTGTGTCTTTGCTGCCCCTTGTGGTGTTTCACTTGCACTGCAAAGGGTCGTGTGCAGAGTGTTTACCTCTATCTAACCTAAGTAGCATGCTTCACTGCTGTCTGCACTGACCTGACAACTGCTGGTTAATCGTTAGTTAATACTTGTGTTCTCATTTAGGTTATTACACATTTCCAGACTGGCTTTGTCTGCTCAGAGAATGTTGAAAGCAAAGGGGAGAAATGGAAGGAAATAAAGAGGTACAATGTCAGAGGAGGCCCTATGGAAGTAAGATGGAGACATGGAATATATAAAAAGTAGAAATTAAATAAATGGGGAAAACATCTTACAGATTCAAGGCTGAGTAGGAACACATGTTTGATTGAATCTGTTCTGTACGTTTTAATCTTCCGGGAACTCAGGCTTGTCTTTATTGTGTAAATTGTAAGGTAAAAATACAGGTCATTAATATAAGGTATTAATGACTAAAATACCTGTCACAAATATATCCAGGTGTATTCTAGAGTCTTCATGACACTGACATTGGAGGTGGTGGCTGAGAGTTTCTCCCTCTCCTGCCTCTCTCTCCAGGGCCATTAGTTAAGGAGTACACAGTCTCACAGATACCCCTCAAAGTTCTGGGGAGCCTTGTGTGTACGTCTAGGTAGGCAGAAAGGAGGCCAGGAGAGCTGGAGCTCTGTCAGTGAGGAACAGCCTACTCTTCAGAGCTGCTGCCTCTATAAAAAGCAAGTGCAGGCTACACGGTTTACAGGGAAGATTACGTGTTTCTCCACAGTCTCTGCTGAAGTGAACTTTCCATCATCCCATTGGGGGTGGATAGGAAGATCTCTCATACATGACATGGGATTGGGATCCCTGTCTGGAAGGTATGAAATGAGGTAATCTATGTCAAAAATGTCATCAGTGCCCACATGATTGGTTAAGCCCAAGCTCAAATTCGTACTTCCTGTGAGAAAATGCCATTTCCAGGTTCCATTTGTGATCTGGAAGTGCCAAGCCTGGCTATGGAAGGAAGTCATAACAATGCCCAATAATAGGAAGATGCTGTCTCTAGGTAAGGCAATGCAATATTTATTGCTACTTCTGTTGACCTTCATAAAGCAATGGGGTTTTCTCAAAGGTAGAATGTGATCTCGGACTTGAGAGTGGAAAGAAAACCAATGTTGCACTCCAAGTGAAGGGAAATTGTAATTGCTGTATGCTTTATTCACAGCAGCTGAGACAGAGCAGCCCCTGTGTCTGTGGGCAGGTGATGGGGAAGGAAAGCCTGTGTCAGGGACAGTGACTGTCAAAGCATCTAGTGACTTGATGAAGACACCAAGTTGGTCTCTGTGTCAAAGGGAGGAGGCAGGACCTGGGTTGTACCTCTGTCCCTTCAGGAGGACCTGATACTACCAACTGACAGCACCCAGGGCCATGTCCCTGCCATGGTCACATCACTCAGATTTTGCGGTCAGTGTCCCCTTGTGCTGCTCCACTAGTGACCCGATCCACTGTGAAATTTTCTGTCTGGCTTCCTCCCAGCTGACAGGTGGCTCATAGCCCAGATCTCGCTGAGCTTTCTTGTAGGAGAAGGTAAACACACAATTTGTCATTGTGACCAAGTGGCGGTTAAATGGAGGCCGGAAGTTGTAGATTGGACGCAGCAGGAAGCTCACAGTTTCCAGTAGGAAGGCAAGCCAGTAGAACAGAGGCAGAGGAAGGCTCCAACTGGAATCAAGATGGAAGCCCCAGTCTTTGCTCAGGGCATAATATAAATCATCATAGCTTTGGTGAGGGGTGTCATCTGAGATGTAGTAGAACTGACCTTGGATGCTTGGTGACTTCTTGGGGTCTCGTAGGCCCCTGGCAGCCAGAATGTGTGCCCAGGCCACATTACCCACATATACTGGGTTAACTGTGGAAAATTTACCAGTAACATCCAGAATACCATTATTTTTGAGGGCCCTAACCATTGTAACATAAATGAATGGACTTTTCTCCCCATAGATATACATAGGTCTTAAGGCACAAGTATGCAAAATGCCACCATTTTTCAGGCTGCACCCATTGGCTGCCAGCACTGCCCTCTCAGCCAGCTTTTTACTATATGGGTAGGAATCAGGCCATGTACTTTCAAGTTGTTCTTCCTCATGGCCATTCAGGACTATCTTCTTGTAGGAATTGGGCCCCGCAACATCAATTGAGCTGGTGTAGATGAAAGCTGGCACACTAGCTTGGACACAGGCTTCCAACAGAATCTGGGTACCTAATCACAGAGAATTCACTGTTAGTTTCAGGAGATAAACCAAGGAGTCCACATGATTCCTGATCATTTCCACCCTAATCCCAGGTCCCTGGAACATTCTTTTCTGTTCCTGGACCAACCCAACCATGGCACGGGCACAAGGGCAATTAAAATAGGACGGGGATGACATCTGCCGTCTGGGAGGCAAGGGTTCTATAATTTCAGCCTTTACAAATCTTTCTAATTCTGTCTGTGACCTTTGATTCTGGTGGAGAAGAATGGCATCCTACAGTTGTACGTTTGGCAACATAAGTTAAAGAATGTGTATGTGTTGTGTATATCATCTATTTTCTGTTGAGCCTGGTGGAGAACTGAAAAAGAATGTGTGCCTCGGACTGGTTCTTCCTATAATGGCAGAATACTGCAGACAATGCAGACTGAAGATCCTGGAGGAGAGGAGAGGGCATCCTCCCTCGAGGAAAGAAGGAATGTCCTGTGCAGTAGTTACTATTATTATAATTCATTCATTTATTAACATTAGAAGGCACTCTGCATCTTGATTTCCCAGAGAAATGACTTCATTATCTGAAGTTAAATATATTTGCCAATTAAATTTGGGTTTTGATTTCCAGTAGGGGGTTGGATAACCATCACTGTGAAACATTTTCTAAGTATGTGACCATGATTCAGTAAAATAATGCCGTAACCGCTATCCCTGTCACTTCCCATCTCCTGTTGCTGGGAAACCAACAGGTAACTGCTACACTTGAGAGCTGGGCAAGGAACACCAGAGACTTTTGTCACCTTCCTGCAGGTATGTGTGTGCCACTTCAGGGAGATGGATTAAAAACTAGAAAGGATGTTTTTGACATATTCCTGACTTCTAAATCAAATATTTTTTCTTTTGTAAAGGAGTCTTGGAGTGTCCACATTGAAAGTCAACATAAAGAACACATAGGGCAGCTTTGCAGAGGGTGTAATGGTGATATAGAGATTGGTCCTTGGGGCTCGGGGTGAGGATATTACATAGAAACCCCATGCAAACTTACCTGTTTCACTCTAACTTATATTAAATAGCCATAATGCAGACAGGGCCACCAATTAAAGGGAATCCCCTTCTTCCTCCAGAGGAGATCCACAGTGGCCTGAGAAGCTATTGCTAAAGACAAGGGAAATAGTGACTCCTAAAAAACTAGAGTGGGCAGGGAAGTGCTGGGTCATTCTTCCCTGCAGACATCTGTGGGGGAGCTTTGCCATGGTCTGTGCAGATGGGCAGAGTGGCTCTCACGGGAGGAAAATACCACATGCTGTGCTGGCTAGCACCTGTCAGGTCTGGATCTGGCCTGGAAGCAGGGCAGTGGGTAGATGGAAATTGAGGATTTGGAGTTGGAGTCCAATTGCACTGGCATGGAGATGGACAGCTTTTCTAGCGGTTGAGGGGACAGGAGTGTGACTTTAAATCTCCATTCTCTTAATGCCTCGGGCGTTCTGATTATGTCCTTCCCCTCTTACTCTGTTTTCCTCACTGGAACTGTTGAGACTAAGGCCAGGAGGGGTGTCAAATCGGTAAGAGTACTGGTTGCTTGCTTTTCCAGAGAATCTGAGTGTGACTCCAATACCCACGTGGCCACTCACAACCATCTGTAACTCCATTTCTAGGGGATCTAATGCATTTTTCTCACCCCATGGGCAGCCAGCATGCAAACGGTGCTCAGACATGCATGCAAGAAGAAACTAAAAATAAAATGAAAATGTAAAGACATACTGAGACTAACAGCTGTGTGCTCTGCTCTCTGAGAGAGGTGAGCAAGCACAGCAGATGTTTCAAAGTAGGAGACCCCTCCCCCCCAAAAAAAAACCTGTTTTTCTGTTTTCATCTTTCCACCTGTTCCATATCTTCCTGAGACACTGTACCTTTCAGGTTGACATCCACGATGGTCTGTCTGGGAATGGCACCTGAGACATCAATGACAGCAGCGGTGTGGATGACAACAGAGATGCCCTGGCAGGCTCTCCTCAGGCACTGGGCATCCAGAATGTCTCCCTCCAACACTGTCACCTTGGCTTTTGTCTGCAGCTCTGAGGAACACAAAGCAGGTCACTGGGAAGCTTTCTGCACAGGTAGGAAGTTTCCAGACACAGTATCAGTGACCTAGGCCTTCAAGGGCAGCCAGAGTGAGGAGATCCTGGGGAGGAGGGCTTTCTACTGAAGGAACAATAAATGCTCAACAGTCAGATTGTATCATTTGTGGGGAAGGAGGAAGCATCTGTGTCCACCCCTCCCTTTGTAGAAAATGAATCTGAGCAGTGAGATGTGATTTGTGCTTTACTCATAAAAACAGAGTTATTAAAGCAACCAGAGGGGTTGTCATTGTAAACAGGCAGAATTAGGATTTAACTGATAGAGAATGGAGAATCACTTGTGGATTTTCACTGAAGGAGAAACAGAGGCAGAGTCCTGCCCTGGGGAGCTGTAACAGTGCTCTCAGGTGGCCAATGGACAGGCATGAAGACATAAGAGTAACCTGGGCAAGCAACAGGTTAATCAGATTGTGTCCTCCAGAGTTCCAGTGAGGAGGACCCAGAAGAGGGAGACTCAAAGATGGAAAACTCAGCCCTACCCCTGATATGTCTTGATACTTTCTGAGTCTGGGCTGAGTAAAAATGAAGAGTGAGCTCAATTACAGAGAGGAAACTGGGGCCTCAGTGAGAGAACTCAGAATGAGCTCCTATGATGGGTTTGCTTGTCAGCATATGGCAGATATCAGAAGTGTGCATTGCACACCAGCCAGCCACTAAGAGACCTGCATTGCAGACACTAAGCCAGGGCAGTGGATAAATCAGTATCCTTATGTTTCTCTGACATCCATAGGATGACATTGACTGTCATGCCAGCAGCTAAATTATCCCACAAAGTTAGCATTGTGAAACATACAACCTACAATGAGTCCCTGACACATCTTATGGCTGAGCCTTTTTCCTCATTCACTGCAGGGTTACCTTAAATATGTGAGGGTAAGGCTGCTGGGAAACCACACTTTACCCTAGGGATAGCTATGTCAGCAGAGAAGTAGGTGCTGCTCCAGCAAAGTCTGCTGTCATTTTCTTTGTCAAGATGAAGGACAGAGAGGAATGATTAGAAAGATGCTGGAGGAGTTCAGGGGAGGCATCTGGGGCCCTGCTGGCCCTCACCTGACTCTGCTCTTTGTACTGTCCTGCGTATGCTCTGCCTGATGCAGGCTCTCAGTCTCTGCTCCCTCTGTCTCTCTGTCTCACTTAAAGAGCCTCACTTTTTTATTTTTCCAACTCCACAGGAGGATGCTATATGGCTTTCCTCTGTAAAATATAACAAGAAATGGAACAGTTTGCCAGCCCCAGGACAAGTAGGAAAGGCAGTAATCTACTGATGAGGTCTCCTACCCCAGAACCTTACTGATGCTGTGGAGCACTAAACAAGTTTACAATAGTACAAATCTATGAATCCAAAACAGCACATTAAAAAGAGAGAACAGGGGACATTTCCCAATGGGAAGAAGGCCAGAGGCCTGGAGGTCCATCAGTTGTCCTCATGGCTTCCTTCTCTAGATCTGGGATAAGTCAGACCTTAGCCTCCCAACAGCTGTGTGATGTAGTTTATGCTGTGTTGTCATGGTTCTTCCTGATGAGTGTGAGCATGGGAGAAGAGTTACGTTCCACGTGCTCCGTGTTTGCTAGACACGGAGCCCCCTCAATGTCCAGTCAGCATTCACAGCCATCACACAAACAGCCTCTGGCTTACTTACTAGAGAATTCCTCCCTGGTTTCTGGTGTGAAGACTTTGTCCAGGGCTCTGACCTCCTGCAGCTCTTTCTCCTGAGCCAACAAGCAGATGATCCTCTGGCCCAGAAACCCTCCTGCTCCTGTCACCAGACAGCTCCACCCCGGCATGGTCAACACAGGAAGCAGATCGCAATGGGAGCAGGTGTGATGTAGTTGACCCTAGAAAGGACTAGAAAAGAGAGCCAATGAGAACAGTTCTCCAGTAATCCTGGGGTTCACTCTACCCAATTTGTGCAAATACTGTCCTCACCAGCACCAAGGGACTAAAATAAATGCAATGTTCCACCCTGCTAGACTGTTAGAGAGAGAATGGAAGGGTCAGGGTGCTGCTGGCCTCATACTGTGACTCATGCCTACTTTGGGATCGTTATTTATTCTTTCCTGTGATCCCTCCTCCCCAGTGATTAATGTGACATGATATATGTTTGATTCTTGACACAGAAAGAAATTACATCTTCAAGGTTATGTTGTAATAAAGACTTCATTATTTTTTGGACATGCACACTTTTTATGGGATTATTGTTCATATATAAATGACCACTAGACATAAAATACTACAAAATTAAAAAGAATGAGGGGCATAGTGGTACATGGTTTTCATTCCAGTACTCTGGAGGTAGATTTAGGTTCTCTGTGAGTTCATGGCCAGGCTAGTCTACATAATAAGTTCCTGGATAGCTACAGCCACATAGTGAGACACTGTCTCAAAAAAAAAACAAAACAAAACAAAAATAATTAGAGTTCCTATATGCAATAAATTACTGGGTTGCATCTCAGGATAATTACATGAAAGTTTTTTTAATCAGAAATGAAATTTATTTCATGAATACCTACAATGCAACCCAGCAAGCATTTATTGAGACTACTTTGTTTAATATGCTTTATTAAGACATGAGTCACACAAATAGCTATAAGCTGAGAGACTTTATTAGAAAGCACAAGTGCAGTGACTGATCAATTCAGATTCTAGGTAACTACTGATAGACCCAATGACGTGTGTCAGTATGGCAGTAGTACATCAGCAACGCTGCCTGAAAAGATCATGGGCAGCTTCAAGGATGTGTAGCCTTGGAGTTGGATCTTGATCTACTTAAACAGAAAGAAAACAACCAAGATAATACAGCTTAAAAGCTCACTTAGTACTGTGGGTATGTGCTGTGCCTCTGTTTCAAGAATTCTGAGAACCAAGGGGACTACTTTTTCACTTGTTGAGCAATTCCCAGTAAAGTTTTGAATTTTCTGTCAGCAAAACAGCCAACAGTTCATCCAATGGCCTGGATCACAGGGTGTGAACTTAAAGGAGAATAAATAGGTAAATCCCCAGATGAAATGCTGGAATTTGTCCAATGTAATAAGCATGTCTGAAAGGAATGCCATCCTTGATGTGACCAGAAATGTCCATCCTTGCTTGTAAACTTCTGGAACTTGCAACAAGAGCACTATTTGTCATCAAGTAGTGCATATAGATTCCAAAAATCTCCATCCCAAGACCTTTGAGCTCCCATTAAAGAAGGTGAGTTAGTAGCAGCCACCTTCTTATGTGGCTGAGGTCACAAGACAGATTGCCACAGTGGCTCTATTCATGGAGGCTTTTTACCAGTTTGAACTGAAGATAGTAGAGGTGTTTCTGAAGCCCACAGCTCAGAGGTACTGCAGTTCATTGCTATGTGCTACTTAGGACATGGTTCTTTCCTCTACCTTTAAAACAGGTAAGTGTGATCACACATCAACATGGCCAGTCAGTAGGTTGTTCAAGTCAATCAACCCTCACATGGATATCACACACATACACACAAAGACACAGACCATGTCCACTACCCCAGAAATCTCCTCAATGCCTTTTTATAGAACTGTCTACACTCAGTCTACTGTAGAGATGTCTACCTTCTGATTTTATGCATATGAAATTCTTATTTTATTCCCACATTCTGACAATATTTTTTCTTGTAAGGTAATTTTGGTTCTTGATATATGTTGGAACATACAATCAAAACTAAAATTAAACTTTGTTCATACAGTACAAAAAAAGACTATTTTTTTCCATTTTTGCCTGCTTCCTTGCTTCATTTGTTTCTTTTATTTTGATTATTTGCTTCCACTTATTTAATTTGGACTTAATATTTTCTCTTTCTGGCATCTTGTGGTAAAACCTTAGCTGAGGGAGTTTATGCTTTCTTCAACTGTAATCCCTACTCAGTAAAGCTGTTTTCTATTGTTCCAAGTAATTCTTTCTTTTACTTAGGTATTGTTTACAAGTGTATTTCTTATTCTATGGAAATGAGGCATTTTCTAAGCTTTATTGCTATTGGTTTTTAATTTAGAGGTCATGTGACCATAGCATGATCACTGTATGATTTGATTCTTTGACGTTTATTGAGACCTTTTCTCTCAAGGAAGTTTTCTAACGTGGTTGGAGATAACTTTAATATGAAGAGTTTCATATTCTACTTTGGATCACCCTTTCCCATTTTGTAGATATTTTTCTCCTTCACCCTGGGTCCTGAATCCCAGTGCTTCAAACACACTTGCTCAGGGAAGAATGACTATACAGCTGTTAGTCAAAGGTCTTTGCTCTTGAGATTTTCAGGCTTTCTCAGGAACCATCTAGGTGAATTGGATTCCTTTGTCAGCTGTATCTGATATAGTAGAGTAACTGACAGATCCCTCTATTACCTTTGAGACTGGGAGTTTCCCCCATGGTGACAGGGAATGACTGAACCAAATTTGACATGGGAGCCTGTGAGAGGCCCTCCAAGATGTTTTCTGATGGCAAAGGGTTACCCTGTCTGCCCCTTGTTGATCTGCATTCATTGGTCCAATGTTGGACTTTGTCTCACCTTCTGCATACTCCAGAAAAGAGGGCCTTCTATTTGGATTATTCCTAGAAAAAAAATTGTTTCTAGGAGTGTTTAGTCTACAACCCCCTTTTAGGTGACCTTGTTTGCCATAATGAAAACACCTGATATTTTCATTTTTCATCAAGCCTTTGGAAATCACCTCTCCTATCCAATCATCATCATGGTTATGAGATTCAATATTGACTGTATCTCAGATCCATTACTCCAAGTGTGCTAATCTTGTTTAAAAGGCTTAATTACCCATTTGCATTGTGAATTAACATTTTCAAAAGCCAAAGATTCAATTATTATCTGTCTAGCTTCTGAATTTTGGTATCATTCTATTTACAGCTGAAGACAATCTTTGTAAAAAAAAAATCAGTGGAGGTTTCTTTTGGGTCCTGTATAACCTTAGTAAATGATTTAGTTCTCTTTCCACTTTCTTCAGTTCTGTCCCAAGCATTC